CAGCCCCACCCATCCCCACCACCGAAAGGTATAAGTCGCCCCCGTTTTGGAGCAAAGCGGAAAGTAGTTAGCAGCCAAATGGCTTTCGGTTACTTGGCTGGCCGCCCACATACATTCGCTCGCCCATTGCCAATACGGAATGGACATTATGTCAAATGCAAAATGGAGCCACAGATTAACCATGGGAAAAGCATTCGGCATCCAGCATTCAGGATTCAGCATGCTGCACACGTGTTGGAGCTGTTTGTGGCACTTATGGATTCACATTTCAATTAAATATTTAGGCCTGAAACCCCCTTTTAAATAATTCAATACGCAAATCCGCACATTTCATATAACAGAGAATTCTCAATAATTTACTTTACGTGACCCAAACCGATAAATTCCCCGCGAGTTTCGAGCTGCCTTTGCCATGTGCAACGTGTTCAAGTTTTTTATTATTTTATTTTTTATCTGAAAATTCTAAAATTTGAACATTTTAACAGCTGCAAAGTTGTCAAAATTGGCCGAGGCACATGAAATATAAAATAGCAAAAGCCACTGAAATAGACACTGGTCAAAGATGTGGAGAAAGTGAAACAAAATTAAATGAAGCTGGAGAACTGCACGGATTTTGATTATAGGTTTATTAATGTACTGATTCCAGATTCAGTAGTTAGAAAATAGTTAAAGGAGTTTTTGGAGGGAATTTAATTTTGAATATTTTTAGCTCAACTTAAAAATCAGCCAAGGAAAGGTAGCTGTTTTTGATAAGTTTTTACAGGTGAAATAACGAAGAATAAATTCAACGAACTTAACACAAAAGGGATAAATGATCCCCTAAATAAAGCTGAACTCCTTCGAAAATAAATATTATCGATTATTGCGGGAAAAAGAGTCTGTTCCAAATATTTTTAAATTTGTTAAAAATCAAATCAGGCTCGGCTGGAAACGTATTCGATCTTAGCCCTTTCGCTCGCAGAAAAGTGCAACATAATCTGTAATAATATCGAAAACAAAGTCAAAAGCAAAACTTTGGGTTTGCTGCGTGTTTCTTTCTGCATTGATGTTTTTAATGGAGGACGACTCCAAACTTTGATGCGGATGCTTGCGCTGTGGCGCCTTCTGATTTTGGATTTTTTTCGTGACGCCCAAAAGCCAATAATGTCGCGTATTTCGCTGCTGACGCTGATGGTGACAACCACTGACATGCCCCCCCCCCCACATACACACACACAATCGCACACACAAACCCCACACACACGCTCGCACACACATGTCGCTTGGGGGCCTTTGGATAATGGTTTCGTGGCATAGAGCGGGGTCCTGCACGGTTCTGCGCGGCGTGGGGTGGGGTCCAGTGGTGTCCTCCGCAGCGTCGAGGCCCACAAAAAGCCAAAAGCAAATTTGGCACAGTGTCACACGTTATTGGTTTTGAGTCGTTTCTAGTGTATCGATTTAACTGCCAGCACGGCGACCCGCTGAGAGCCCTGCGGCTCGGCGTTTCGCTGCGGTTTGGTTGGGTTCCGTTCGTGTTGTTGTTGAGGTTGCTGTTTTCGCTTCTTCTTCTTCTACTTTTTGGTTTTTTTGCCCGCTCCTGTATTAAGCTTGCAACGCGTTGTAGTTGTCAGCAGCAGGAATGGCTGTTGCTGTTGTCGCTGTTGCCGGCAGGAAATTGTTGTATGCAAACATTATATTTTTAATAGGACTCTTTTTTTTCGCTTTTCAGTTGTGTTGTTATTTCTGGCAGCCATTTGAACAGTTTATCCCCGAAGTCCGAAAAAATACCCGCGCCTAACCAATCGCAACAACAATTGCTGCAAAGCTCTCATAGATTACGCCAAAGCTTAGATTTTGTTCTATACGAATATATATTTTCTATAGTCCAAATATTTTATTTATATTGTGTGCAGTCAATAAAAAGCTTATCGAACAAAATAATCAAAAGCAAATAATTTAAAATAATTGGCATTAAACTTGTTCATTTTTCTTTCGCAGCTTTGGTAATCAATTTAACGCTGGAATAGAAGTCGGAGGCTCTTTTAAAGAATTTTAGAAAATATACCAAAAGCCAAAATTATTAATGTGGGAGCCCTAGAAGGCGAGCGACAGAGAGCAGCACGCGGCAGACCCATTAAAAATAGGTAAAAATGGTTATTTGTATTTGTGCAAAATGCAAATGTATACAACAGGCAGAAGGAAGCATCTTCGACCCTATAAAGTATATATATTTTTGATCAGCATTAATAACCGAGTCGACCTAGCCATGTCTGTCTGTCCGTCTGTCCGTATGTATATACGAAAGGATATCAGAACCTATAAGAGCTAGAGACTTGAAATATTGACATGCTATTTTTTCTTTTTTTTTAGCAATTTTGGTAAATAATAAGAGCTAGAGTCACCAAAATTCTTATGTTACTTCTAGAATATTATATATATGTATATCAAGCATTTAAGATCGGTTAAGAGAAAACCAAAGTTATATGTAACTGCGCAATTGGATGGCACAGCTATCGAAAACTTCAACAATTTGTGTATACATGTACACACTAATTTTCAAGCGCGTCTTCTTCGCATTCTATCACATTTTAACAGCATTGTTATTACAACTTTTTTCTGTAATGCTATTTTTGTTCCTTTTTATTCTAAATAATACTTAATTATTGGTGTGCCTGGAGTAGAGACATAGCGAGTGTTGCGGTCTGTCGCGAGTTCGAGCCCTACCTAGGAAACAATTTTTTTTTTTGCTGGTTTGTCTGTTGAGTAGAGTCGTCAGCAAGTAATGCGGTCAGTTAAGAGTTCGAACCCCGCCAAGTGAATTCTTTTTTTTACTTTATCTTTATTACTTCACGAACTGCATTTGGTGTTGAAATAAGAGGGTTCAGGGTATTCCCTAATCGTAAGCTCCCGAATGGAAAATCTTACTTGTTAGCTTTGCAGTTTTGCATTAAAGAGCAGGAGAGACACTTGGCACTTGGAGTTGAAGTTGACCGTCAAGAAGTAAAAGTTTTAATTATAACTAAAATCATTCCATAATAACTTAATAATAATAATGATCAATCATCTTATAATATTAAACATATTTGTAAAAGTTAACCATTTTGAAACAAATTATAATAAGAAACTCTGTAATTCAATAGTAATAAAGAATCTACATATAAAATATCGCGAACTAATCGGGACATTGCTGAATAATTCAAGAAATCTGTATGAACGCACACAAATAATAAGATTTTTGATCATAAGCAACAAAGAAGACTCTCTCTAAACTTTTTATATAAACCACAGAAAATGGATCCTTCCTTTTTCATTACTTGGCAAAGTAAGTAATTCTTATGTAAATACTTAAAATGCAATAATATATGTATATACCTCTAAAATATTTGTCATACTTTATTGACCTTATGGATTCTTCACTTTAATCATCTGTATAAGAGTCTGAGATTCCATTATCTTTTGCAATCGGACAAAACAATGAGAATTAATCAAGACTTTTTTGTTTAAATTAATTCCTACTAATTCGGATACAAAGGCGTGCTCATTCAACCAATTGCAAGCAAATCGCAGAGTTAATTTAATTAAATTGCAAGCAACAAACGTAAATTTAAAGCTAGCCTGTAATTAAATGCAGCTGCCAGCACAATGAAATATTTTGCACACTACGCCCCATTTGCTGCTACCAAAATTAGATGATTATTTAAATTCGATTGTTTCAGCTTTGGGCGACAGGCTGGACAGGATGATGCTGACAGGCGATGACTGTTCGGGCGGGCAAATAGCAAATTGCAGCGAGCAAAGCGCGACAAGTTCGCCTTGTTGTCTGCACTCGCTGGCCGAAAAGTTTTCTCAGCCAGTTTCAGTTCTAATTAGCGCTCTCAAGATATTCAACACTCAGCGTAATTAAATGGAATTTTAAGCGTTGCAGCGTGCCAGTTCGGCAGCAGCGCCTTTTAATTACTGCCGAGCTGCTGCCCCACCAGATAGTGGGCAAATATGCAGTTGTTGGCAACTTCATTGCGACAAGCTGCAACAGCAGCAATAACAACAACAACAACAACAACAGCAACAGCTTAAATGACGGCCAACTTTTTGGTAAACGGCAAAACTTGGCTGGCACAAATTAATCATAACTTTGGAGGCTGCTGTTGCATTCAGCTGCCGGCGAATTGGAAACGCAATACGAGTACCAAGCCCGCATATCCTCTCCGTCTATCAGCACCCGCTTGCTGTATCGCCTAGAATGTTGCTGCTTAGGGCCATTAAAAATGTGTTAGGTTTTTGTACAGCACCGCCAAGGTGCAGATATGTAGCACGTCTGCATTTGCATAGACTTTCATTGGGGCGCGCGTCGTCGCTCTGTCTAATAAATTTCAGCAGCTCCTCAAAATTTATCAAAATGGTGAAAGTTTGCAAGTTGCAGCTACAGCTGCGCAGTGTTAGACAAAACAACTCTTCGACTATTTCCGTAGTTGGTGGGAGAACTTTTGTTAAACTAAAAAAAAAAGTGGCTTACATACACCCGAGAGCATCGTTGTGTATAAGCTGTGGCAGAAGAGGTACATATCTATACGTGTAGTTGGAGTAGCATCCTAACTTAGGGTAAGCTTGACTAGCCTAAAATAAGACTAATAATTATATTAGCTTTAAAATAAGACAATATACCTACAATTCTGTTTTATTTGATATTCGCTTTGGCTTCTATCAAAACAACTTTATTATTTAACTGCTTTTTTAATTCAAATTCAAATAGTGCACTGCTTGCTTAAACAGCTTACACCTGCTTGGCGGGCTGCTATCTGCTGCTAGACAAAAGCTGTTTGTTTTCACACGGAATAGCAAGCAGTGCATTAAGAACTATCAAAGCAGTTTAAGTTTGCAAAATTTACGTTACAATTCAAATGTTTGATAAACCATTTTAAATCAAAGTCAAAAACTTATGTACGCTTACCCATCGTACATTTACAATTGCCATAAGTGTTACATTTAATTTAACGTAAAATCGCATCAATTTAAAATTTCAATTTGGCTTTCATTTGATGCAACAGTTTTCGTGTTTGTTTTAATTCTTATCTTTCGTAGTCAATTACAGAAAAATGGCGCGTTTTGAGAAACGCAAATTGTTATTGCGATTGCATAAGAATTGTAAATAAATACAGAATTTAAATAAATAACATAAATAGCTAAAGCCTAGTTTCAAGTAAGCACATAAATTAATTTAATTTAAGTTGTCCAGTCATACGCACTAAAATGCAAGTAATTCGTAGCACCCGTCACGCCCTAGACCTCATTGCACTCCAGATACAGCTGGCGGCAATCGAAACCGGAACGCCCTCTGCGTCCGGCATCGTACAGATGCTCGAAGCTGGTATTGCTGCTGCGGCCGAGCATATAGCTAGTGGCATAGCTGTTTCGAAGAGGGAATATACGGGCTTAAGTACATATGAAAATGGGAAATATAGCAAAGACAACTCACGATCCCAGTTGGCAGAAGATGCTGCTGCCGCCAATTTCGCGCACACAGTCGGTGTTGGCATCGCACATGAAGCGCTGCATGCACTTGTCCTCCGCGTTGCGGTAGGTGCGGACGTAGCCCTTGAGGAGCGCAATGCCGGCGACGGCCGCATCGCTCACCGAGTCACGTTTGCCCAGGGAGCGGGCCGTGAGCGAGCGGTGTGAGAATGAGGTCTTCAGTGCGTCCAGGAGATTCATCACGATCTGTATGAACTGTGAATGGGAGCGTCGAGAGTTGGTAGAGTGTGATGGCAAGGTGTGCGTGTGTGTGTGTGTATGAGGGCAAGTCAATTGGGAAGCATTAGTCAATTAGTTTTGTGCCAATAAAATAACTATGTATGTATATCTAAGTATAGCAGTGTATGTGTAAATGTGTGTAGTGTGTGGTGTGTGTATGTACTGTGTTCTGTTTGTATGTGTGTGCTTGAAATTAATTTACATTGGCAGCACCATGCAACAAGGCGAAGCTGATGAGAAATACCCTTTTCACTTTGCGTGTAAAGTTAATTATTATTATAACTCCACAGCTATTTCACGCATGGTTAACATTTAAAATTTCAGCCCAAAAACAGTGAAATTTACATTGTAAGCTGAGAAAAGCTTATTGATACAATAATTGGCAGACAAGTGTTAACTGCTTGCAGCCAACGTGCGATTGGAATTGGTAACAAATGCTTGATATCGAAATTGAATTCCACTTTCGTAAAAATCTTTTAAAATCTCAATAAATAATGTTCACATCAGCTCTGAGCGCCCTTATATAGTTGCATAGTGCTCTACGGTGTGCGTTTGGTGTGTAAGCAATAATGGTTTTACCTCGCCAGCTTGCTTGGCCATCGAGTTGACTTGATCTGGATCTCTGGTGCCCAACACGGACGACAGCACAGCCGCCAAGATGCCCTGTGCGAATTGGTTTTTAGGTTGAGGAATAGTAGGAAATAAATACATAATACAAAACGAAAAACAAAGTAAAATAAAAAAAAGAGAGCGGCCCAAACACCAAATCAGTATAAATACATATAAATACAAAACAGCTAAAAACAGCCAAAACATAACTCAAAATAAATGGCACAAAAGCGACAAAAAAAGGTTGAAAATAAATGGAAAAAAACGTTAATTACCTGCATTGGAGAGCCACCGTTGTCGACCTTGTCGATGCCATCGCTGGGCGCACCACCGCCCAAGAGTGTGTTGATAATGCGCAGGCCTGCACAAAATAAAGCAAATTACTAATATATTTAAGATAATCGAAAAGAATAGTGTATACTACGCACCCATCGAGATGACATTAGCCCAAGGGCTGCCGCCAAGACCAATCGAGCTGTCGACATCGTCCGACTTGGTGGGCGCATTGGCAGCGCCATTGAAGAACATGGTCATCACCGTCGACAGCATGTTTGACCAGGTAAAGCCGCCGGGTCCGCCCACGCTCTCCTGTATCTGATTGCCCTCAATATCATCCTCAATGTCGTCCAGAGCCACCTTCTTGGAGGCATTCGGCTTGACGGCAAACTTGCGGGCGCTGCTCTCGGGGCGATAAACTGGTGACTGCGACTGCGACTGGATCAGCTGTTGCTGGCGCTGGTACAGCTCCTGCTGGGGAAAGGCGTAGGTGAGCAGCAGGCAGTTGCAGGCCACTATGGAGAGCAGCAGGTAGGCGTTTAGCTTGCGTTGATTCAACATGGCGTTGTCTACAAAATAGAAATAAGCAAAGTAAGCTCGTGTTTTCAGTCTTTCGTATTGCGCACTTAAAAACTGGGAGGCCCCAACCGCCAAGTCCATATAACACTTTCACATTGCCCAAGCGCTGACGGGTTGTTTGAACCTGCCCATGTCCCGCGCATACAAATAAGCCCAAAAACTAAAGCTAACAAGAAGCACACAAAATAGTGTCCAGTGCGCACGTGCAGTTACATGAAATAGTTGGCCCAATTCACGAGTGTCCATTCCGCAAGACTCTATTAAAGTGACATAACATAAAATAATTTAATGAAGGCTCAAGAGCTATGGGAAGTCTTTAATGAATGTCATAAAAACTCTTATATCTTTAATAAAGCAATTCAATGCTAGATAAACGATTCCTGAATAATGAGTTTATAAACTAAATTCATTTACCTCCCGGCCAAAAAAGAATAAAACAAATTCACAGGCTAAATGGAAATTTTCTGTGGAAGAAAATATGAAAGTTGTTGCGCATTATTTAAGCAAAGAGCTAACCACTTCCGAAACAAAAAGACAAAAACAAGTCTAACTGCGCGTAATTAAAATGCCTTGCCTCAGAGCTGGAGTCTCGGTCAAATTGAACCTGTTCCCAGTGGCAGGGGCATATTAGAGAGCGGCAAGAAAGCGGCTAAAGCCACAGAATTGGTCAAGACTGGGCAGCCAAAACAAGACAACACCCAAGCGCTGGCTTCATTAAAAGAAGAAAAACAAAACCTGATGCGCACTGAACTGGGATATACGATATATTAAGTACTTGTTAGGCTGAAAGAAAGCAAGCCGCTGCGCGAGGTGGTAAAAGCGATTAGAGCCACAGAGAAAGACTTCCTGAAACTAGAGTTAACACCAATATTCGTCTTGATATTCAAATGGGTAAATTAGCTGTGAGTTCTGCTGCTCTGCGGCTCTTCCCGATAGATGAAACAACAATCTTTGAGTCTCAATCGAGGCCTTGCTTTTTCTGGAACCAGTTCAGCCGTAGCGGTACTTGCACACAGATGTCATGCAGCATGTTACCGTTAAAAAATAATAATGAAAAAACTGGCCAGAAAGAGCCATAGAGAATGCCAATAGCTGAACTGAGCTGAGCATCGATCAGGGGAGATGCGATTGCATTGATTTCCATTTAATTGCCCAACAACCTGCTGCCAACAGCGGAAACGGGCCAACAGAATGGGTCAGCTTCTAATGCTGCTGCTGCTGCTTTTCTTCTACTTCTTCTCATATCATATAACGGCCTTACCATGGAAATGTAAATTGTTTTGAGATGCGATCATCAATCAACATTATGACACGCTTTTTATCACGCCTGCGACACAGTTCCACCAAATGTGAATCGCTCTTATAATTATTGCATCTATGTAAATTTAGAAAGCTGTTAGGAACGTGCAGTGGCACTTTGAAACGGTCACTAGGTTTCATGGGAACGTGTCTTTTTTATGCCTTCTTTGCTATCTTTTTACCGTGGGGCGTGAGCGAGCCGTGAATCAATGAATTAGTCAAGAGTTCTCAGTTATATAAACGTGCGAAACATATGCAAGGGGCGAGATTCAGAGATTTTGCCTGCAAAAACTCCTTTAAATCTTCATTAAGGTCTTAAGTATATGCTCTATGGCTAATTAAAAATATAATATTAATAGTATTATTTAAATTTGCATAACATTTTATGCTTTATGATGATTGGATGATAAAGAGATAAAATATATAAGAATCTGTTGCTAGAAAGTAGAGTTAGGCATGAAATTGTGTATAAAAATGTTCAGCTGATAAAGCGTGGCCTCTTTATATACATTACCTGTCGAAAAACAAATTTAAAAAAATCAAGTTTATAAAAAGCTAATATATATGAAATACAAGAAAAAATCACCTGTCACTCAGAGCAAATAATTTAAATAAATAATCATAAGTTGAATAAACAAAGAAATTAATAATTGCCTCTGGATTTGCACCGGCGATCTCTCTCATGTTAGTCGAGTGCTCTGACAGCGAAGCCACACAGGTTCAAAGAACAATTCTAAGACTGCATTGTTTTGCAAATCAATTCCCACTAGAAGGTCAAATTTTCCAAAGCCCAGTTCAGATTACAGATTCGAACAGTCTGTCAGTCAGCACTGGGGATATTCAGTTATTATTAAAGATATATAAAATATACAATGAGAATATATTAAATTATTTGCTCAAAGTCAACTCTTCGACGAATGTGGCGTATGATATGATATAATATATTTATAACATTAAGTATCGTACGTCTTGCTTGGGTAACCTGCCTTTTGTTTTGTTTCAGCTTCAGCGATTTAGCATGATATATGAAATGGATTGAGATATGATTGGTTTAGTAGGCAATAATGCTAAAAGCTTTTACTCTCTTTAAGGCTAGGCACGCAACTCTTACTTTCATGGTCGGCAATAACAATTCCATTAAATGTGGCAATTAAAGAAGTATTTTTGTTATTGAAGAAAAAACAAACAACTGTTGCCAATAATAAAAAATAATTTACACATATGCGTCGACTAAACGAAATTAAAGCCATTTCTTTAGAAATAATTGCAAATGGACTTGGACACAAAATTAGAAAGTGTAAAAACCGCAAAAAACGAAACACGCGCCAAATGGCTAAATGTTAAGCAGTGTGAGAGGAGGAGGGTAATTATAGTAGTTAGTGGTTCTTTGGTCAAATGTACCAAACATTTATTACAATTCATCTTCCATCTACTTCTCTCGTCTCTTCGATGTGCTTTTCGTTTTTAATGCGGTCGCCACCTTGGCACGCCCCACTGAGCGGGGCCCAAGTCAAAGCTGAGAAAGTATCTTCGTGATTTGCGGTTGGGCTTCTACCTTTCCTTTGCACGTACATACATACTTATATGTATATACATTGGAGCTGGCGCTGAGCTTGGAAGTGCTGAATCATTCTGTGAGAGCCAGATTATCTTGTTGCTGTTGTTGTTTTTGCTGCTGCTTATTTTCGGTTAACGCAAGCTCGGCGCAGTCATCGACTCGTTTGTGGCAAGAGAAACTCGAATAAGTGTGTGTATATAACACACACACTCACGTGTGCTTTGCGGAGTTTCACTTTCTTTTTGGCCAAGAATTCGAGTACCTTCAGGTTTATTGACCACAAAAACTGAAATTTAGCCAGGCGCAGGCGCAAATCCCGCTCAGTTTGCATTTATAGTTCAGCCTGGGCGACTTAAACTTTCCAGCAAGTTCGTGTCTTAAGTCTTTCATTTTATTCGCTTTTCGCTCAATGGTCAAACACCTCGACGTGCAGTGTCTAACGGTACATTGCGTCGCATTTAAATGCGGCTTGGAAAATGCGACATTTTTGTTGTTGCTGTGTTTTTGAGCGACTATTTGGTAACAACAGGTGTCAACGGGTTTCTGCTATTCGGCATGACAAACACATCCAATGCCCAAATGACGCAATGTGGTGAGCATGATCGAAGAGCCATTCAATTTGCATAGGCATCCGTTTGTCAAAGCTGCATTCAAGTAGATTGAGGCTTGCCAAGATCAAAGGAAAGCTGCTTGTGCCATACAACAGCTGCAACAGTTGCAACAGCTGCCAGCATTAGTTTTACTTTTACCTGACCCGAATGGGCATATAACTTATAAGCGTCACGAAAGCAGAACAAATTGCAACTGTCATTAGGTATTATTATTATTATTTTTTTTTATTCATTTTGCAGCTGCACTTGATGCCGGAATTGCAACTGTCACGATTTGCTTGACAATTGCCAGAGTTAACGGTGTGAAAATTGTGGCCTTGTTTTCATGCAAGTCTTCGAATTTATATATTTAAATGCACAGATGTATTTCCAATTGAATTGGTAGAAATTTATGAAATTTTTAAGTAATTCGTTTTATTTTTAGATATTTATTTTAAGTATTAGCTGAGAAATCATTTGGGAGAAACTACTGAATACGCTCCTTAAATGTCTCATATTTATTAAGCATATTTGCATTTCTCTTTACTTTTATATGGAACTTAATTTTTTTTTTTTAATATTGGCAGCTGATATAATTTTTTACTGTTTAATGTTTTTTGACTTAAGAAAGTTGGCAATCTAAAAATTATATTAAGGACTTTCGTACATTATATTAAGATGTTGCGAATTTTACAAAAGGTCTTAAATTTTTTATTTCAATTTATTTTTTAAATTATTATTTTACCGTGTATAAAAAAAGAAAACGCAAGGTTTTTTTTTGTAAATTTCTAGATTTTGCTATTGTATTATTACAAAAATAGTTAATGGCTTTAATAGTTACTCCCAGGCATTCAATTTAATTCAATTGCTAACAAAGTGGATTTTTTTATGAAATATTTGAAATATATTTGTAGTTATAAATATAAAATACGCTGAACTTTGGCCGGAATATTTAACTTATTTTTTAATTTTCAAAACTTGCAAACGATTTCATACATCTTTAACCCTGCAAATTCGATTTTCTTGAAGAAATATTTTTGTTTAATATTTCATTAGGGGTATATATATCTATCCTATTTTCTGAAATATATATTTGTATTTAATTGCAATTCATAAGAATTTTATATGCCTAAATTATTTTCACCATATTTATCAATAATTTAATTTATTTGAGATGACAAAACTTACCGACAAAACTGCACCACAAAACTAACAATTTAGCAGTTAGCCAAATTGATTGAGCACGCTTAAACGGCTTGAAGAAAAACTTTCACCACAGACTGGGCAACAACAGCAGCAACAACAAGCGCAGACTATGTTGACAAAGTAGAAGCCGCAAAATGCCAAAGAAACCACCAACAACAACAACAACCGAAACAACAATAACAACAAAAGCCACAAACAAACGTCTTGCATGAATGAAAGTTACAAAAAGACTTGCTTTAAGCTAACACAGCGGGGCGTAAAGTAAGAAAAAATAAAATATTTTATATATATTGAAGTCAAAGTCATGGAATTTATAAAACAAATTGAGCAAAGCAATGTGGTTTGAAAATGGGTTAAGAAGTGGGAGAGGGAGCGAGAGAGAGAGAGAGAGAGACAGAGAGAGATGCCTCTTGTGGGCAATTAATAATGAATAAAACAAACATCGAATTTTCAGCATAGAAATCAAGTCAAAGCACAGCCCCAAGCAAGGCGTTAATTGGCATGCAAAGAGCTAAAGAGCCGCACTCGGCCACAAGAATCAGTTCATAGATACACACACACACACACACACACGCACACACACACATAAGCACACACATGCAGAGAAGTATCAAGGCCACAGAGCTGATGTTAAGGTGCGGGCTTTTGAAATTCTTTAGCCACAAATTTGGGTCAGTGGGTGGCCCAAAAAGTGGCAGCCAATTTGAAGCATGCCGCATGCAGCTTGAGGCTTGGCTCAATGCACAATTTCCATAAGGCAGCCAATGCGTGCGCCAGTCCCCGTCCCCGTTCCCGTGCCTGCTCAACCCCTGCCCTAACGTGACCAGGTGCTTCTGCTATGTGTGTCTGTCCGCCAATTTAAGCCCAGTTGTTGCGTGCGTTGTGTTTGCTTTGGCCTTTTTCATGCAAAGTTGTTAACTCGTTTAACAGACAATTTCATGGTGGCCGTTCCTAAGAATTTGACGCTACAGGTTCTGTTATTTCTTGGCCTGACCCAAATATTTTCTAGCTATAGCTGTTCTTTCTGCCCGATTACATAAATCACAGTCTCATCAATTCACTTGTGTTCTATGAATACCTTTGAAAGTTAGTTTGAATCCAAACTAAATCAATTATTTTGGCTATCAACTGCAGACATCCAAGTGCCAAATACCGAATGCTTTTCAATTTACATGAAATTAAATTTATGAATCAGATTGGAATGCAATTTAAATTGTATTCAAGCCATTATTTACTTTATAAAGTGTATGATATAAAGATTGAAGAAATCTGTAGATATAGTTTAGATGTTAATATAGGTGTCCATATATAAATTTGTCCAAATTCAAATTTGTAGACGCGGTTTGAAGTTTCCATATCAGTTTCCATACCCGAAATTGTGTTCTGTATCGACCAAACTATTTGCATATCAAAATATATTAAAATCAGACTTCTCTATCTTAAGCACGGTTGGTATAAAGTTAAGATAATTAAATAAAGATATAATCTCAAATATTACTCTATAGTACTTGCAGGGTATTTAATTTAATTTGAAATTGTTTTGAGCTGATATAATTTAAAGCTGTTAAAACATTATATGTTTTTCAAATTATTTTTTTTTTGTGTTTTGATATATATGGCTGCAAGAGTATTTCATTTATATTTTTTTTTATTTTGTAGCTGATATAATATTCAACAGCATTATAATATTTTCTTGGCAGTTTAAAAATGATGTTAAAAACTTTATCACATTAAATTAAAATTGATGTTTTTAGGTCCTAATCGAGCACTTAGTAAAATCGTAAAAATACCAGAGAAAGTTGAAAAAAAATTTAAAAATTTTACTTGTACATATCACAAATCCTTTAAACCTAAATACACTTTAATTATTATATTTACTTGAAAATGAAATTTAAATATATTGTTAGTTATTAAACTTAGCATCAAAAATAAGCCGTTGCTTACCCGTTACTTAGCTGTAGTCTAGCAGTTGCTAGCGCTTAAACGGTCCAATTTAACTATTTAAGCTATTGACTAGCAGCTTGTTAAAAAATACGAGATTCACAAGGATCACGCAGCTCCGTTCATTCGCTCGAAATTTCGTTGCACACAATTTGAAATTATCACGCGATTGTCGAAACTGCACAATTCACCTGTTGCACTGGTATTGCGCACCACGAAAATAGTTCGAGTACAATTTATATCTCTTTTCTTGAACTTGGTCGAAAGACTTTCGTTTGCTTTAAGATGCGTCGCAATTTCACTACGCGTCTTTTTGTGTTGTTTTTGCTGTTGCTGCGGCTGCTACGGCTGCTGTTGACGTCTGAAACGGCGATCGCCTTGAACTTGCCTTTATATAGCCTGACCCATTTTTTCGTGGCGAAGAAATGCAGCGAACCGGCTGCGCAGAGTACAGCGGCTGCGCAACGGCAAATTCAGTTCGACACGCAACATGTTCGCTGAGCTGTCGAACTGCGACGAAGTTGCGTCTGTGCAGCTGTGCCGCCTGCGTTTGACTTGATCGCGTGTAATTAGCCATTCGCTTATGCTTCTATTTTTGTCCTCTTTTGAGCTGTCGTTTATTGCTCTTTGCTGCGGGTGATTTACCGATCTTTCTACCTGCTCATCTTTGCCAAGGTTTCGTTTTCATTTGCAGTTGCTGATTTACATTAAAGTGTATTTCTGAGTGCGTACAACAGCTTCCAAGCCGCTTTGTTCAATCTTTACGACCCCGACAAATTACTCATCCACCTTTTGTTGGCAACAGACTGGGGCTTACCTTGACTAGGATAACTTTTCCAATGTTGCGCAGCGTTGCGATGACTGATTGTGGCCACAGTTGACTCATGGATCAAACAGAGATGAGTTCCAAAAAAGATAAAGTAGTTGACGTTGGTTTAGTTGTGATCAATAAAAAAAACTTTACCCAGATATATGAAACAGCGCAAGTATTGAAATATATAAAATCTTTGTTGTATATGCATTCTAGTGTGAACAGCGTGGTTTCATGTGGAATATAAAATATTCTTAATAAAAGTTCATACAACCTTCTAGCTTATTCAATTAAATGATAAATTCAATAAATAAGAAAATATGCAAAAAGCAGAAAATCCTTGTTAGTTGAAAGTGTGTTAAAAATTCAATGAATGCAAAAAACGAAATGCGAAAACATTTTAAAGGATTTTGCGAGCAAGCGAAGAATTTGGTTAATAATGAAAAAAAAAACAACAAGAAAGAGGCAATGGTAAACTGCACGTGCTTGTGTGTGTGTGTATGTGTGTGTGTCTGTCTGTGTGTGTGTGTGTGTGTGTGTGTGTGTGTGTGTGTGTGTGTGTGTGTGTGTGTGTGTGTGTGTGTGTGTGTGTGTGTGTGTGTGTGTGTGTGTGTGTGTGTGTGTGTGTGTGTGTGTGTGTGTGTGTGTGTGTGTGTGTGTGTGCGTGTGATAGTGCTTGTTTTTCTTCGCCTTCCTTGCTTCTTTTACATTTTTTCTTCTTCGTCTTCGCCCGGCCAGCGGCACACGTGCAAAAAAGTTAAGCCGTTCGAGCAAAAGTTTGCCAAACAGCCAGACGAACGGACAAGGTATTAGAACTCTTTCGAAATCAAATCTGTCCAGGCGAACGAGCGAGAGCGAGAGGGAGAGAGAGAGAGGGAGAAAAACTAACACAGACACAGCTGCTCGGTCGCCATCTGCATTTGTATGTGTTTACATTTAGTTGTATTCGATTTGCATAGCAGATTTAAGCAAGAGTTCAGACAAGCTGAAGAGAGAGAGATAGAGAGAGAGAGAGAGAGTGGGGCGGGGGAGTTAGGGTCACACACAAATCAATGCCAACTCTGCGGGCAATCAGCATACAGCTGGGGCGGCAGGGGCAGTCGACGCTTAAACGCCTTCCCTGTTGGTTATTGAGTGGTCTTAAAGCCGATTGGGCCAAGTTTTGTTCTGCCAGTGGCTTTGCTTATTGAATAAATGTGCACGGATTTATGCAAATCCCAACTACAGCACCTGCCCGGCTGACCTGTCCAGCTGACCTGTCCTCCCTCGTATATTTGCACGGACCAGGCTGACCATTTGCCATGCGCTTAATCCGCCCATAATTGTTCAACATTTGTTATCTAAACAGTGACTTTCACAGTGACTACCACTGTAGCTGTAACTGTGACTCTTCTGACTGTAATCCATGGATATGTCCAGAGTTTAGTTGTTATTGTTTGTCTTTTGTATTGGAATTTGCTGTGCACATTAGCGTAATTATTTGTGTTGATAGCGTGTGTGTGTGTGTGCGAAAACCGTTGCCAAAAACTGTCTAAACATTGGCACACAAATTAAGCTTAACATTTGGCATCCCCATTGACTTTGTCAGCCACGGCCAGAAATATGGTTTACTAATTCAATTGCTTTGGGCCGGATGATGAATTATGATTTAATTAGGCAAATTACGCACCTATTTCATAGTATAATAATTCAAGTTATCTTTCCCCCACTAAGTCCAGACCTATCTCTGGCAGCTCCATCATATATATAAATATATTTATATATATATTTATTTATATATTTATAATTTATATATATATTTCATCTATTGATTATTTTATTCGACCATTGACTCTGCAGTTGATATATGTATTTTCCTTTATTCAATATTTATTTTTTAGTAAATAATTGGCTTTTAAAATATTTTGAATATGTGCAAAGTATTTCAAAGCAATGATTGTTAAATGTCAAATGTATATATATTTTTTCGATAACATATATTGACCATTATGTATGCCTTTTCCATTTGTTTATTGGCTTAATTATCTTCAAAAGTCTCCGATTGGCTTCTCTAATATAGCACTTAAATTAAGTAAATAGTAAAAGTTCTCAATCTCAAACCTTTCCAAGCTGTATAGAAAATGAAATTGGACTATTTAAGCGCTTGATTGTGTATCAATTAGCGCACATTTTAAAATTCTCTTTGTGTGTTTGCCTGGCGCATTAGCACGAATATTTGTCCCGGCGCTCATACACCGCCCCACCTCGCGACCGCGCTGCCTGCACAGCGTCTGGGTGAAACCAAAAAAGTGACCCACATTTCGTCTATTTTTTCTGTGTACGTTGCTCATGTGTGAAGCTGTGTTAAGGGGGCTGTGGCGACTATGGTGGGGGGTTATTTGCTGACAAATTGAAATCATGACATTAACCTCGACGTCACATACACAAACCCAAGCCAAATAAACACACATAAACGCACACACATGCAGGCGCGCACACATGAAGAACTCTTAGAGATTGTTGCATACTTTCAGGCATATTATTTATGCACAGACCCTGATCTATGCAGTCATCTGTATGTGTGTGTGTGTGGGCGTGCGTTCGTGGTAATATAAAATCAATAAATCGTAAGCATTTTTTATTGCGCATCCTGCCAAACTAGAAGACAGGACGCTGCCTTTATTTTCCTTGATTTTACATAAGGCCGAAAACAGTAGCTGATGGCTCTGTATGAAAAACTATAACGCTCTCTGAGTTTATCAACGCAGAACCACTTCAGAATAATGATGTCTGCTACCAGCACAACTAACAACTGATAGCCGCAGCTGGAGGGAGGGCGGCATAATGTTTTGCTATATTTTTATATTAAATCAAATATTTTTGCTGCCCTTGACAAAATGCAACATGCTGATAAATATTTGTTTTATTGCTGCACATCGACTTAAGAAATTCAGGCGGAAGTTAAAGTTTGTAAAAAAATGTGTATTAATTGAAAAAAAAAAGAACAAAAAAAAAGATCAGAATCAATATCAACTGCAGCTAAAAAGGCAATGCTATAAGCCAGATAATGCCAGATGCTTAACTTTAGCTAATACTGTTTGAAAGCTAAAACGGCTATTTGAAGTGCATTAGCTACTCGTATATATTTCGGAATTTAAAGTAATGTATGAGTTAAAGAGCAGTCCTTACTGTTTTGAATAGCAAACATAAAGGTTTCTGACAAAGGAGATAAAAGTTAATATCCCTAAATATGGATTATTAGAACAAAATTAATAAAGTAGTTGAAAGTGCCATCAGGGTTAGATTGGAATAGTTTACATTTAAATTTAAATATCAGAAGCTTTCCTATTAACTAAATATGTGGTACAACACACACCTTTGTTTAACTACCCACATATCAACAGCCCACAATTGTGCGAATTCGTAAGAGTATTAATTAATAGAAACCGCCGTATATTGGATATCTGAGGAGCTTGTCATTGCCACACATTTCATCGAATTAAACGCATTTCGTCGAATTATGGTTGCACATACATTTTGGGCATTTGGTCAGACCTCTGCTTTATGCTGTTCGCTGGAATGACATTAACAGGGCTGTTAGTCGCCTCGACCACGCCCCTAAAATGTAGTAAAGCAAATTATGAAATTTCATCGCATTTGTAAAATTGCATTTCAATCAATATCCCTGAACAGAGACTACTTTAACATATTTCAGCAATTAGGCTGTACACCTGTGTCCGAGGGCGCTCTGTGTGTGCGTGTGTGTGTGTGTGTGTGTGTGTGTGTGTGTGTGTGAGTGTGTGTGAGTGTGTGAGGGGCGTGGTTAATAGTGTTGGTGCAGAGTTGACATTAAGTTCAAAGTGGATAACAATTTAGATATAAATGGACATAGGCTTATTTAAACTAAGCATTGTTATAATAGCAGCAGACATTAATACAATTTGTTGTTGCAGACCCAAAATCAAATCAGATTTAACTGAAATTTTAATCGAGCTTCTAAGGCCAAGACACGACAATCTACAATTCGAACACTTTTGAGTTTCAACTTAATTTAAACTACAATTTCGTTTGCCAACTGCCATTAAATGCCAGCTAGCATGATTCGTTTTACACATGTTCGAAGCGTTTTTTATTACGATTTATCAAAGGAAAATAAAGGGAAAAGGGGTATCATTAAAAATGCAAGCCAAAGCATTTGCTGGGCTCATAAACATCAAATTTGTAAGGACGAAACATCTGTTAAGCTTTTATGGCGCCTCTACAGAAGCATTATAAAAGCATCGAAAAAGTTTTCCTGATGATACAAATGTGCCCCCAGACCATAATGCAAGTTTAATTTCCAGCTCGACACGCAAAAAAGGGCTCAATAAATAACGAAACAATATTTTTTTCTTTGTGTTTAAAAGTAGATATATATAAGAGTTGTATATATTTTCGTGTGGAAAATGTAAAACTGTTGGCTTGGTGATTTGAGGCTGGCGGCGAGCAGCTGTTGACTGATGCTATGTAACTGGCCAGGCGGGCCTGTACAGGCAAGATAAAGTACACTTCCGTGATAAATATAACAACAAGTACCCAAGG